ACGGGGTCAATTGTAACATTTTTTGCATTTTATCATCTGGTGCAAACACGTTTGCAGCTATAAAGCTCCTTCTTTTATTTTCAGAAACTATGATGTTTTGTCTTTAAAATGCAGTTAAAACATTTCCGAAATAACTTCTTTTTCGGGTCAAAATTGTTGTTCGAAAAAGTCAATTCAGCTGTTACAATTCACCCCAGATACGGGGTAAAAAGTAACACCACCCGGGGACAATTGTAACATGTTCATTTACAGGCTACAGCAACACAACTTTTTCCAAAACTTTGATTTAACAAAAGTATTGAACACTTGCTCATCTTCCTAGACTTGGTAGGGACGGTTCTTCTCAGGAAAAAGGCATAAAACCTCGCACTTATACAGGGGTTGGATGGACCTCCTCTGCCTTGGTTTTTCGCAAATAAATCGCGTAAAAAGCTGCCGATTGCGACAAAACTTACAGTTCTCTTAATTCTAGCAATGTTTCATCTCCCTTGAAAATTTGACGACTTTGACATAATGGCCACTGACCTATAACCTGTTACATTTGACCCCTGCAAAAATGTTACAATCGTCCCCGTCGCGCCTTGACATATTTTAGACGAAACTGGCGCAAAGAGATGTTGCATGTAGGCAGCATTTAATGCTTTCAATTTATCGACAACAAGCCTGCCAACGCTTACACAAAGTATGAAGTCGATATCTTTTCAATGGCGGGAATGAGCTAATCAAATATAACGGCATGAAAATCTACAAAATGCTCTCAAAAACACATTACTGTGCACAGCCATCGACATACCCGACACTTTCGCTTCAAACTCCGTTGGGAAAGGCAGTATAGAATTACGCATTTTTGGTCTCAACATCAGCTCATTCTATTGGTAAGTTTATGAATTATTAACACTGTTACAATTGCCCCGTGTTACATTTGACCCCGCTCTCCCCTATACGCAAAGCACTCAATCATTGGAACAGGAGCGTTTGTCCAACACCTTTATGAAGGTGAAAACTGATCACGTGATGCACCAAAGGCAAAAATAAGGCGAAAACCCATATATCGCGGGCTATCAGTCGCATGATATTCGAGGACCGCCCTGGATTCGGCATCGGCACCCCTGCAGTCGGTGACGACAGGTGGTATCACCCGCCACACATCGCAAACTTCAGCAACACCTCATTTTAACCCTCGCATGTGTGCGGCGTTTGCCAGCTTCTAATGTGTAGGGGGGGGGGGGTCGGTTGGACCCCCCCTTGCCGTTTGGCCCCTGATCGAGCTAGAGCTTCGCGGAAAAAACGAGCGTGTTGCCCGTGACGAGAGGAAGCCGATGATACCCAATTTTAAGGTCCTAGGTCATTGGTTGACCTTCCAGGTCAGGTCAATGACCCAAAGTCGGGAAAATCGGGACCTGTTAGAAAGTCGTAAAGTGTGGCTGCTAAGGGGTTTTTCGGGGTGCTGATCACGAATATCGTGTTAGTTTTGATCACAGATGATGTCTTTAAGCATTTAGACTCGGTCAGGTCAGGTCAGGTCAGGTCAACCAGTAGGCGTCGTGACGGGTATTCGTAGTACGTGTCAACCGCCTCTGACAGCTTCGTAACATGTTACGAAGGCACCAAAACTACTTCGTAAATGTTCAAATGGTTGCTAAATTCGAATTCAGCTCCAAAAACTAGCCTAGAAACATGTACAGCTCGAAAAAGTGAACCGAGGTCACCCGAGGTCACCAAAGGTCAATGACCTGACCTGACCTTCAGGTGACCTTGACACCCACCCTAATGCATGGAAGCAACATCAAATCACATGTTTGAACGTTTGAAACCACGAAAAGCTTGCAAACGCGCGGCTAATGCGAGCCGATATACGCAGAATCGCGATTCCGGCCAAACATGGTCTCGGAAAAGAGGTCACAGGTCAAAGGTCATTTGGGTCAGGGTCATGAAATTTTCAGGGTAGGTGTAAAATTGATCAATGTGAGGGTACTGAAAGTTTCGTCGCGATCGGCCGCTTTTTACGCGAGTTATTCGCGAAAAACCATGGGGGGGGGTCCATCCGACCCCCCCCCCCCCTACACATGCGAGGGTTAATTTCTGTCTGTTTCCTTTCTTTCTCTTCTTGAGCTATTTGCGACCGTGTTGGGTGCAAATAGGAAATATGGGTTGCGACACATTTTTGACTACCATGCAGTGCACAGTAACAAGATTCACTACGGGAAAACGGCAATCAATTGGAAAAGGATTGTCGATTTAGAATAAAAAAGGTGCATTATCTTAATGTGCATCGCTTTTCCTCAGATAGGGTCCAAATGCACACGTTTTGGATAAGAAACTGGCCATTTTTATCGCAACTCCCCTAAAACGTTCCACCAGAAGTACCAGCAACCGGAAAAGAATTTAGTTTGATAACCAAAGTATGGCAGACCTTTTGACATTGTTTTTACCCCGATTTATCTTCCCAGCTTTTCTGTAGGGAGGTATGTCGCAAATAGGAAAGGGTCGCTAATTAGGCACCTTACCCTACAGTGGGGGAAGCCGGGGGAAGCCCGGCATAATAAGCTCTTTTTTATTTTTATGACATAGGGTAGACCGGGGCAAGTCGCCCCGCCGAGGTAAAACGCCTCACCGATGTTTCTCGGAGCTGGCAGAGTTCTGGGGAAACATCATCTCTTCTATAAAACGTGCACTATATTATCATTATATGAGCAGGCTGGAAAGAAATTGTGATGACTCTTTCGGGAGATATAGCCAAAAATGTGTTTTTGGAGTGATTTTTATGTTTTGTTGTCAGATTATGTATCATGGCGTTCTTTTATGGTCCACATCAGGTTAACGACTTTTATGTATTTTGAACAACTGTTGTCTAACGCTTATCATGCCGGGTTGGTTCGTGTTAAATTATGTCTTGCTGGAGTGCAAGACGTTGTTCTCTGACCGAACTACGTGATGGGGTAAAACGCCCCAGTAGGTCGCGGGGCAAAAAGCCCCTGGGGCGTTTTACCTCATGTATTGTTCGGGCTACCCACTTTCTAATGTTCGGTAGCTGGCGAACAGTAAGTTTCTATGCCTTTATGTGTATTTTTATCAACAACTGGATGGCAAAGGAAGTATTTTGTTAACATTCGCATTGCAATAATTTATTATTTGGTCTTATGAGGTAGGTGAAAAACCTGCTCATACAATAGTGTCATAGCTGAACACCTGACAGGATGGAATGTGCTAACTTCAGTGCCGTGCCTCCAGAGGTCTAACGGACCTCTCACATAAGATTTAGCCAAATACCATGTTAAATCTTTAATCTAAAGTATGGGGCTACTTGCCCCAGGCCGTGGGGCGTTTTGCCCTGGGGTTGGGGCAAAATGCCCCATTTGCAGTTGCTTCACAAATCACTTCCTAGCTTGGAGTCCGATCATAAGTGGATGAATTTGAGGGGTGCAATTTAAAGTAAAATGTCCAAAGAACGCATTGAGCACAAATTTGGCCTTCCAGGTAATCTGGGACAAAATTCATGTAGCAAAATAAATTATCTGGGGCGTCTTGCCCCAGGCTACCCTATCTTGCGTGATGTATAAAATGTTGATACCCTGTTAGCTTGATAAGTTAACTAGCCGTGTTGTCCCAAACACGGTTGCCTGGCCGTGTTGTTTATGTTTTTTTTAGATTTCACCTCTGTCGATCGTCCCCCCCCCCCCCAGTCAAAAATCCGTGGCGACGCCCCTGCCTGCAGCCTCAACGAATAACTTCTAGTAAAGTTATCCATCAAACTGTGTGGTATTTTGTTTGGTTTGGAGCTGTAAAGTATTCCTTTACGTAATTGTCGTTACTGCGCCATTATCGCGAGTTTGGTAGCCGACGCCGAATATGGTGACCGAACTCGACGCCATATTGTTCTGTACGTTGTTGAGCAGTCTCGAAATAGACGCCTGACGGGGAGCACGCTGCCTATTGTTGGAGAGGACCGGGAAGTTACTGCGAAGGACACGCCTACCGGGAGCTGAAACACGAAACATGGTGCCGAAACCCCCATCAAGGTTTGATTATGCCATACCAGGTAAATGGAGGGATTGGCGTGCGGAATATATGATGTACCACCGGCTCTCAAAAGTGGATAAGGAAGATGGGGACTTTCAAGTTAGCTCACTGTTGTACTGCATGGGTATGCCTGAGTCTAACCACATCTTTGAAATGTTTGCTTTGTCTCAAGAAGATGCGAAGAAGTTTGCAACTGTTCTGGCTCGGTTTGATGAATATTTCGAGCCTTGTAAGAATGTGATTCATGAAAGGGCAGTCTTCCATGATAGATCCCAGAGGCCAGGAGAATCGGTATCAGAATTTTTGAGAGCATTGCATGTGCTGGCACGATTGTGTAACTTCTCTGATCAAGAGGGCATGATACGAGACAGATTTGTCATGGGATTAGCCGACAGAGAAGTTACCGAACAATTGATGCAAATGGAACAATGTACTCTCTCGCAGGCTGTGCAGATCGCTGGAAGGCGTGAGATGGTGAGAGGTCAGCTGAATCAGCAACCACAGCAGCAGCAGCAGCCAGTGGAGGTGAAGCTGGACAAGCTGGACTACAGGCGGCAGAAGCGTGAACAGCCCAGACATCAGAGCCGACAGCCTCCCAGGGATTCTGCGAACTGCAGCTTCTGCGGAGGACATCACAGCAAAGGCAAGAAATACTGCCCAGCTAGTAACAAGGTCTGTTCGAAATGTGGAAGGAACAATCATTTTGCTAAGGTTTGCAAATCACCAGAAGTACAGGAACTTGTTCATGACATACAAGAAGATACACTGTTTCTGGGTCATGTAGACGCCGAGCAGTCACCGTGGATCGTACACTTGAAACTGTGTGGGAAAAAGGTTCCGTTTAAGATAGATACAGGAGCTGATGTCACTGTAATCAGTAAGGACACTTACTCAAAGATGTCTTGGAAGCCTGCGCTGCAGCCCGTGAAGCAAAACCTGACTGGTCCAGGGGGTTCGGTGTCATGCTGTGGCTCGTTCAGGACTCAGGTCAGGTTTAAGAATGAGTTTCATCAGCTGCATGTGTATGTTGTTGATGGTCTGGACAGAAACCTGCTAAGTCGTGAGATGGCTGTGCAGATGAGGATGGTGTGTCGCATTGATGATGTTCTGCCAGAAGGCCCTGCGGAGGAGGAGCCCCTGGGCACGATGGTCGGTGAACCAGTCCGGATCCATCTCCGAGAGGACGCCCAGCCCTACTCTGTGAGCTCCGCAAGGCGCATCGCGTTGCCGCTCCTGCCAGCGGTCAAAAGGGAAGTACAGCGCATGCTCGATAGCGACATAATTGAACCTGTTACCACTCCATCAGATTGGTGCGCCCCAATTGTGCCTGTAGTCAAGAAAGGTTCAGGGGATGGTGGAGAACCGAAAGTAAGGTTGTGTATAGATTTTAAGAAACTGAACCATGCCATTAAACGTGAGACATACCAGCTTCCCACTGTTGATGAGCTGATACCGAGGCTTGCGGGAGCCAAGATGTTCAGTGTGCTTGATGCTTCAAGTGGATTTTGGCAACTCCCTCTCCACAAGGATAGCCGCCACCTGACGTGCTTCATAACGCCCTTCGGCAGGTTCCGCATGAAGCGCCTACCTTTCGGCATTTCCATAGCCCCAGAGGTGTATCAGAGGAGGATGAACCTGCTGCTGGAAGGCATCGAAGGAGTCGCCTGCTACATGGATGACGTCCTCGTGTTCGGAGCTTCTGAGGAGGAGCATGACAAGAACCTGAAACAAGTTCTCAAGAGGATGAAATCGGAGGGACTGACCCTGAACCAGAGCAAGTGCCACCTGAGACAGAAGAGGTTGAAGTACCTGGGACACATCGTCAGTGAAGATGGCGTAGAAGTTGATCCCGCAAAGGTAGCAGCAATCCAGGCTCTGAAGAGACCATCGAACGTGAAGGAGGTGAAGCAGCTGCTGGGCATGGTGAACTACGTGGGCCGCTTCATCCCTCAGCTGGCAGAGACACTTCGACCTCTCAACGATCTTCTGCGGAGGGATCACCACTGGACCTGGGATGTTCCGCAGGAGCAAGCACTGGAGGCGGTGAAGAGACTCGTGTCGGAGGCCCCCGTGCTAGCCATCTTTGACCCTAACCTACCCACTGTCCTGGCAGCTGACGCCAGTAGCTATGGTATGGGTGGGGCACTGTTTCAGGATCATGGTGATGCCGGACTTCGACCTATAGCATTCTGTTCTCGTACCCTGTCCTCATGTGAGCAACATTATGCACAGATCGAAAAGGAATGTCTTGCTATTACCCATGCATGTGAGAAGTTCCACCGATATGTTCATGGGTTGAGAAAGTTTACTGTTCTTACGGATCACAAGCCTCTGATCCCACTCCTTAATTCGAAGGACATCGATCTGGCTCCGGTTCGCTGTCAGCGGATGCTGCTTCGACTGATGCGGTATGGGTTTGTTGCTGAGCACTGCCCGGGGAAGCAGATGGTGGTGTCTGACCTGTTGTCTCGACAGCCCTTGGACGTTGACTCAGGAGACACCCGCCACGAGGAGCCTGGTGATCTAGAAGAGGAGGTCCAGCTGTACGTTGACGCCGTGGTGTCCGGTGTCCTGGAGGACGCCAAGCTGGAAGAGGTCAAGTCAGCTCAGGAAGGCGATCCAGTGCTGAGGAAGGTAGCAGAGGTCACGGAGAAGGGATGGCCGGCTACAGCTACTGAACCAGAGGTGGAGAAGTTTCGAAGCCTTCAAGACAGCCTGTCCGTGGTGAGCGGAGTGCTGTGCTACGGATCCAGAATCCTGATTCCAGAGTCAATGAAGCGGGACGTGCTGAAGCGGATCCATGCTGGTCACATCGGTTTGAACAAGAGCCGACAGGTGGCCAGGGAGAGTGTGTTCTGGCCGAGGTTGAGCGAGGACCTGAAGAACTTCATCGAAGGATGCGACTTCTGCCAGGCTCAACGACCCAGACAGCGGAGTGAGCCACTGATTCCGACACCCTTGCCGGAGAGTCCCTGGAGGAAGCTCGGAGCTGATATTCTGGAGCACAAGGGAAAGTCGTACCTTGTGATTGTTGACTACTATTCCAGGTATCCTGAGATCCTGCAACTATCGTCAATTACAAGCGAACAAGTTATCCTGAAAATGCAGTCTGTCTTTGCGCGATTTGGATTGCCCTGCGAGCTGGTTACTGATGGAGGGACGCAGTTTACCAGTGCGCTTTTCCAGGAGTTTTCCAGGGAGTGTGGCTTTGTCCACACTGTGACCAGTCCGCATTTCCCGCAGGCTAATGGGGAAGCGGAACGAGCGGTCCGCACTGCGAAGCACCTGCTGAAGCAGCCTGATCCCTGGATGGCTCTTCTCGCCTACAGAGCAGCACCTCTGCACACTCTGGGTCTCAGCCCTGCCGAGCTGTTGATGGGGCGGAAGCTGCGGACGACCGTCCCGATGCTACCGCAGAAGTTTCGGCGACCGGACGATGAGGTCAGGCGAGCCGACGAGAGGCTCAAGATGAAAGGTAAGAAGAATTTTGATAAGAGAAAGGGAACAAAAGTGCTGCCTGACTTGATGCCTGGTGATAAAGTAAGAGTAAGGACTGATCAAGAGAAGGGGTGGAGCTCACCGATGACCGTTGCTTCAAAGGAAAGTTGTCGTTCGTACTGGATCTCGGATGGTCAGGGACAGTGGAGGAGAAACCGTCGTCATCTTTTGGGTCCGTTACCCATCGCCTGTACTGACGTCGCCGACACCCCGCAGATTGCCTCTGGCGAAGTCCGAGCCCCGAGATCAGCAGTCCTGCCCAGCGGTACGTCTAGCCGGCCCGGCGATGACTCGGCAGACCGGCCCGGTGAAGGCTCGGCGACGGCAGACCGGCCCGGTGAAGGTTCGGCGACGGCAGACCGACCTGGTGAAGGTTCGGCGACGGCAGACCGACCCGGCGAAGGCTCGGCGGACCGGCCCGGCGAAGGAACGCCGGGAGCAGCGTCCCGGTCCGGTGACGAGCGGGGCCGAGTTACCCGTTCCGGGAGAGTTGTGAGGCCGCCGAGACGGATGGATCTGTGAGGCGTTTGTCTGTGATCTCAAACTTGTTTAAAGGGGGGAGATGTGTGGTATTTTGTTTGGTTTGGAGCTGTAAAGTATTCCTTTACGTAATTGTCGTTACTGCGCCATTATCGCGAGTTTGGTAGCCGACGCCGAATATGGTGACCGAACTCGACGCCATATTGTTCTGTACGTTGTTGAGCAGTCTCGAAATAGACGCCTGACGGGGAGCACGCTGCCTATTGTTGGAGAGGACCGGGAAGTTACTGCGAAGGACACGCCTACCGGGAGCTGAAACACGAAACAAACACTGAAACACGAAACCTGTTTGAGTTTGAGCAGTCTCGAAATAGACGCCTGACGGGGAGCACGCTGCCTATTGTTGGAGAGGACCGGGAAGTTACTGCGAAGGACACGCCTACCGGGAGCTGAAACACGAAACATGGTGCCGAAACCCCCATCAAGGTTTGATTATGCCATACCAGGTAAATGGAGGGATTGGCGTGCGGAATATATGATGTACCACCGGCTCTCAAAAGTGGATAAGGAAGATGGGGACTTTCAAGTTAGCTCACTGTTGTACTGCATGGGTATGCCTGAGTCTAACCACATCTTTGAAATGTTTGCTTTGTCTCAAGAAGATGCGAAGAAGTTTGCAACTGTTCTGGCTCGGTTTGATGAATATTTCGAGCCTTGTAAGAATGTGATTCATGAAAGGGCAGTCTTCCATGATAGATCCCAGAGGCCAGGAGAATCGGTATCAGAATTTTTGAGAGCATTGCATGTGCTGGCACGATTGTGTAACTTCTCTGATCAAGAGGGCATGATACGAGACAGATTTGTCATGGGATTAGCCGACAGAGAAGTTACCGAACAATTGATGCAAATGGAACAATGTACTCTCTCGCAGGCTGTGCAGATCGCTGGAAGGCGTGAGATGGTGAGAGGTCAGCTGAATCAGCAACCACAGCAGCAGCAGCAGCCAGTGGAGGTGAAGCTGGACAAGCTGGACTACAGGCGGCAGAAGCGTGAACAGCCCAGACATCAGAGCCGACAGCCTCCCAGGGATTCTGCGAACTGCAGCTTCTGCGGAGGACATCACAGCAAAGGCAAGAAATACTGCCCAGCTAGTAACAAGGTCTGTTCGAAATGTGGAAGGAACAATCATTTTGCTAAGGTTTGCAAATCACCAGAAGTACAGGAACTTGTTCATGACATACAAGAAGATACACTGTTTCTGGGTCATGTAGACGCCGAGCAGTCACCGTGGATCGTACACTTGAAACTGTGTGGGAAAAAGGTTCCGTTTAAGATAGATACAGGAGCTGATGTCACTGTAATCAGTAAGGACACTTACTCAAAGATGTCTTGGAAGCCTGCGCTGCAGCCCGTGAAGCAAAACCTGACTGGTCCAGGGGGTTCGGTGTCATGCTGTGGCTCGTTCAGGACTCAGGTCAGGTTTAAGAATGAGTTTCATCAGCTGCATGTGTATGTTGTTGATGGTCTGGACAGAAACCTGCTAAGTCGTGAGATGGCTGTGCAGATGAGGATGGTGTGTCGCATTGATGATGTTCTGCCAGAAGGCCCTGCGGAGGAGGAGCCCCTGGGCACGATGGTCGGTGAACCAGTCCGGATCCATCTCCGAGAGGACGCCCAGCCCTACTCTGTGAGCTCCGCAAGGCGCATCGCGTTGCCGCTCCTGCCAGCGGTCAAAAGGGAAGTACAGCGCATGCTCGATAGCGACATAATTGAACCTGTTACCACTCCATCAGATTGGTGCGCCCCAATTGTGCCTGTAGTCAAGAAAGGTTCAGGGGATGGTGGAGAACCGAAAGTAAGGTTGTGTATAGATTTTAAGAAACTGAACCATGCCATTAAACGTGAGACATACCAGCTTCCCACTGTTGATGAGCTGATACCGAGGCTTGCGGGAGCCAAGATGTTCAGTGTGCTTGATGCTTCAAGTGGATTTTGGCAACTCCCTCTCCACAAGGATAGCCGCCACCTGACGTGCTTCATAACGCCCTTCGGCAGGTTCCGCATGAAGCGCCTACCTTTCGGCATTTCCATAGCCCCAGAGGTGTATCAGAGGAGGATGAACCTGCTGCTGGAAGGCATCGAAGGAGTCGCCTGCTACATGGATGACGTCCTCGTGTTCGGAGCTTCTGAGGAGGAGCATGACAAGAACCTGAAACAAGTTCTCAAGAGGATGAAATCGGAGGGACTGACCCTGAACCAGAGCAAGTGCCACCTGAGACAGAAGAGGTTGAAGTACCTGGGACACATCGTCAGTGAAGATGGCGTAGAAGTTGATCCCGCAAAGGTAGCAGCAATCCAGGCTCTGAAGAGACCATCGAACGTGAAGGAGGTGAAGCAGCTGCTGGGCATGGTGAACTACGTGGGCCGCTTCATCCCTCAGCTGGCAGAGACACTTCGACCTCTCAACGATCTTCTGCGGAGGGATCACCACTGGACCTGGGATGTTCCGCAGGAGCAAGCACTGGAGGCGGTGAAGAGACTCGTGTCGGAGGCCCCCGTGCTAGCCATCTTTGACCCTAACCTACCCACTGTCCTGGCAGCTGACGCCAGTAGCTATGGTATGGGTGGGGCACTGTTTCAGGATCATGGTGATGCCGGACTTCGACCTATAGCATTCTGTTCTCGTACCCTGTCCTCATGTGAGCAACATTATGCACAGATCGAAAAGGAATGTCTTGCTATTACCCATGCATGTGAGAAGTTCCACCGATATGTTCATGGGTTGAGAAAGTTTACTGTTCTTACGGATCACAAGCCTCTGATCCCACTCCTTAATTCGAAGGACATCGATCTGGCTCCGGTTCGCTGTCAGCGGATGCTGCTTCGACTGATGCGGTATGGGTTTGTTGCTGAGCACTGCCCGGGGAAGCAGATGGTGGTGTCTGACCTGTTGTCTCGACAGCCCTTGGACGTTGACTCAGGAGACACCCGCCACGAGGAGCCTGGTGATCTAGAAGAGGAGGTCCAGCTGTACGTTGACGCCGTGGTGTCCGGTGTCCTGGAGGACGCCAAGCTGGAAGAGGTCAAGTCAGCTCAGGAAGGCGATCCAGTGCTGAGGAAGGTAGCAGAGGTCACGGAGAAGGGATGGCCGGCTACAGCTACTGAACCAGAGGTGGAGAAGTTTCGAAGCCTTCAAGACAGCCTGTCCGTGGTGAGCGGAGTGCTGTGCTACGGATCCAGAATCCTGATTCCAGAGTCAATGAAGCGGGACGTGCTGAAGCGGATCCATGCTGGTCACATCGGTTTGAACAAGAGCCGACAGGTGGCCAGGGAGAGTGTGTTCTGGCCGAGGTTGAGCGAGGACCTGAAGAACTTCATCGAAGGATGCGACTTCTGCCAGGCTCAACGACCCAGACAGCGGAGTGAGCCACTGATTCCGACACCCTTGCCGGAGAGTCCCTGGAGGAAGCTCGGAGCTGATATTCTGGAGCACAAGGGAAAGTCGTACCTTGTGATTGTTGACTACTATTCCAGGTATCCTGAGATCCTGCAACTATCGTCAATTACAAGCGAACAAGTTATCCTGAAAATGCAGTCTGTCTTTGCGCGATTTGGATTGCCCTGCGAGCTGGTTACTGATGGAGGGACGCAGTTTACCAGTGCGCTTTTCCAGGAGTTTTCCAGGGAGTGTGGCTTTGTCCACACTGTGACCAGTCCGCATTTCCCGCAGGCTAATGGCTGGCTGAAACTGAAACACGAAGGCTGAAACTGAAACACGAAACACAAACCAAATACCATCGACCTCCTAACCTTTCGGTAATGCCACCAGGCGCCAACAGCTAACTGTCCGCAATTCATTGCTTTGTTAAGTGCATCTGTACCGGCCGAACAACGAGTTGCCACGCGGCGCGCAGCCGGCGCCGAGTGCAGCTGCACCTAGCGAGCGAAGAGCTAGCACGCGGCGCACCGATTTGGCGCGCTTTTGGTTCCCGCGCTTTCTTGCTATTTGGCGGGAGACAGAGTGCCGGCGGCGGCGGCGGCGGCGGGAGCACAGAGCAGCCACCGGCAGTCGGCTCTGGTTGTTAATAAATATAAGCGGGACAGTGCTGCCAGATGGAGAAGGCTGTAATCCTCCAGATCAGTTACAAAAATCCTCCAGATTCCTCCAAATCCCATTGGCGGATCCAGATAGGCGGTCTTGGACGCTGCGGGAGGGCATATCTCCGAAAAGGTTTCTCCAAATTCTAAAAACTCATCGGATTTCGATTCCTTTCGCACTGCTGTGTAGTTTAAAAGATGCTTTTTTATAATAAAAGTTGTTTAGTTTTCGTTTTATCCTTGAAAAAAAAAAACGAAAATTTTCTTCGATTTTGGACGCTGCAGGAGGGGGGGGGGGAATTTGCGCCAAATATCCCCCTTTGATCCGCCAGTAGTTCGGTACCTTCAAAAACATATGGTACAATCGTACACGAAATAGGAACAAATAGTCACCATGATATTCGTGGATATAGCTACAGACTGAGACATTCCAGTCTCACGGTGATAAAGGGCAGTGATATATCCTAACGGGTAGGGTGAAGCTGGGCAGGAAAATGTCTTTTGAGTCTTGAACGCGTTGTATTTTTCCATGAAATTGAATATATTAATCGGGTGACAAATCCTCCAGATTTTCCTCCAGAATCAAAAATCCTCCAAACGCGAAATTTGTCCGCAAATATAGTTCAAAATCCTCCAGATTTGCGGAAATCCTCCAAATCTGGCAGCACTGAAGCGGGATCCACTGTATAATACCTAGTGGCGTCATATTACCTAGTGACGTCACATCGTGAAGATGTGCCGCTAAACACGACGCATTCGCCACCTGTCAAGCGAGCCTAAAGCTAATAGTTTATAACAAATATGCC